TTCAATTAGCCTCCAGGACTCCAGCAATTTGGATTCCGTGAGAATTTAATGGCAAAATCCATGACGGAGAAATGATGTTTGAACTTTCTGCGAGAGCCTTGCGTAAGACTCGGAATATTTCCAGGCTTCCCTGAGACCATGAATTGGTCCTCCTGCTCGAAAAGTGGACGTGGAAATTCAGAGAGGAAGGAGCAAAAAGGAAATGGTAATAGAGCCAGCCGGGGGCTAAATTCAACTTGCCCGCGCGGGGTTAAAGGGATCAAACTATCCCATCTTCGTGTATCCCTCCGCTCTGTTTCCAAGGGCTGTGCTGTCACCGTGGAAACCACCCCATCACCATAACGGTCCCTCAATGGATGCTACTTCAATAAGGAGCAAGGCTGAAGATAGGGCCCTGGGTTACTGCGGAAGAAAAGAAAATGGCAGCTCTTTGCCCACAGACCATGAATGAAGACACGTTGAGTAAGAAGGCTGGTAACCAGGCAGACACCTCGTGAACGTTAGTGTCATCCAAGCCCCCAAATTCTGTTCCAGCCCACTGCCATATTGCATATGCAGAGGACCGATGTTCTACCTCATAAACAAATGCTCTGAGACGTGGTGGGGGACTCAGGGGCACGAGAAAGGGTGAGCCCATTCTCTGTACCTCCTGCAACACCTGACCCAGTGCCAAGTCCACACAGAACCTTCCAGGAGGGCGAGAGTGGGCTTTACCCAATGACTATATCGTCTTATGTTTTGCCCTCGGTGAAGTATAAAATAATCAAAGCCAAATAAAGAGGCACAAATCCACTCAAGAATTTGGGGTCATCCACACAAATTAATTCTGGTTTCATCATATAAAAATGAAGATATTTATTTCCTTCTCTTCATCTTTCTGGTCATCCTTGTTTTTCATGAGGTTCGGAAAGCATGATTCAAAAGCCAAGCGCTGCAGGCAGGCCCGGAATTCCCAGAGAAAAAGAACCATCCAACCTTGGTCACAATGTCAGATCAACCTGGTTAAATGTTGTACCACATCCACAACAACAGCAGCAGCGGTGTTGTTGTTAAAATAGTCCCCTAGAATCCGTGCTCTTGGGGTTTCTCTCACCAGAAAGGCATGGAGCCACTCACCACTTAGCTCTCGCTAGCCAAAGCCAACAAAGCCCCAGAGATTTTTTTGGCTTTATCTTCCCACTGAACTCATGCCAGCCTTGCATGGGCACAGCCAGGGCAGCATCGCGGCCTTAGGTGTTGGCAGCTTCTCCCACCCACTCCTTAGCACTTTCCCTGCTCAGGGCAATGGCAAAGGCTCCCTCTCTTCCACCCACTGTACCTGGAGGCAGCACCCCCTGAGCCAGCCAGGCTGAGGAAGGCAGTCTTATCTACCTGAACTCAGGAAAATGCTTTATTAGGTCAGCCCACTGTCTCCACAGAACGTTAGAACGGGCCTGCGTAACGGAGATGCTAGGTAGCCTGACCAATGAAAAATCATCCCTTAAAATGAGGAGGAGAAATCCCTAATGTGCATGCTATATCTCCGCTCCCATGTAATTGGAAGAACTGGTTTCTTTAAAAAATAAAGTGCTTGGATTTATTGAAAAGTTCTATTTGATGGAAATGACCCTGCCTCTGTATCTCTATTCCTTTTCTCCTGTCACCACCTTTGCCCGGGCCTCATCACCACTAACTAACTGGTCTTCCAGCCTCCATTCCTTTCTTCTTCCAAAACATCCAAGAGATCTTCCCAAAGCATGGATTTCAGCACCTTTGGAAACAAGTCCTACTCAAGAACCTTTAATGTCACAAAGAAACAAGGCGACCCCTCAAGAGTCCCTGATGCTCTTTTACCGTGGCTTCAGCAATCCAGAACAGCAGCACGGCCATTGGGGTACCTCCCAACATGGACCCTTGGGAAGAAGTTTTACATCGAGTTGGACGTCATCGCTCTCCCTTGTTGTCCTCAAATGTATTCATGACATTAGTTCTATTGCACACACCATGGCAAACTCCTACTGGATTTCTTCCAATAACGTGTGAGATACTTTGCACGCCTGACAAAGAACCTCCTGCCACATGACGGTAAGTGAGCAGAAGTAAGGAGGAACAATAAATCAACATCAGAAGAAAAACACAAAACACACCCTGACACTTGCAGGACATCATGTTCTAGCAAGTGCACCAGATAATTGGCAAACAAACATGCATGCTAAGAGGCAACTCATACCTCTCCAAGGCCAGTGGCTAGGCATCACAAGAGGGACAAATGGTCATCTGGCCGCAGGAGAGTGGCTGTGGAGATAGAAAATGCTAAAGGAGGGGACTCAAAATCCTTAAGAAGAATATGCATCTGTCCTCTCCCTCCCCTTCTGAAAGAACACAGAACTGCTATATTTCACTGCCATATGCCTCCTCCTCCTGCCAAAGGCAATAAAACACCTCTGAGTGTTCCAGGACAAAAAAAAAAAACTTAAAAAATTATATATATATATATATATATATATATATATAGCAGCTTTTTCCTGAGTTCTTAAAAAGCAATTAACAGGGGTTCACCTCTTTTCCCCACAATAACATCTCTATGAAAGATTCTTCCCAGAAGACTTCCCTTGTGGCTCTAGCCAGTGATTATTTCCACGCCTTCCCATGGAAACTTCGGACATCCAGAACCTTAAAGACACGTTCATGGGGCCGGCCGGGTTGCCCACTGGACTGCAAGCTCCTCTAAGACCAGAATCACTGCTTTTTCTATATCTCCTCCCTTTCCCCATCCCTTCAGCATCCAGCCGTTCAGAGGAAGCAATAAATGGATGCTCAAGAAATGCGGACATTGTTCAGTGGCTCTACATTAAAATACGTCCATCCTTGGGTGGAAAATACGCTCTCCCTGTAGCGGGTACTTTAGATATTCCCTTTATCTTTATTCCTGCTGTCCTTTTTTCTAGAAGAGAACGTATCATACTCTCTGAACCACCAGCATCACCCTCTTTTTTTCGGATGACTGGATTGTTGAATGTCAAGTGTTCTGTTTTATGCATATTTCCCAAAATAATAATGTCTAAATAAATAACTCTTTTTTGTAAAGAAGGCAATAATCACTCCCCCTACACAGACAGCGTTGAGTGTTGGCTGGGTGTGCAGCTATGGAGTTTAATGGAGTTGGCACTCTTCTCTCCACTGTTGTTTGGAGGTTTTAGGATTTAAATGGATGCTACTGGCTCTGCTGATTTGCAAGATCATCCAGCCCCTGTCCCTGGGAAGCACTATACCCCTTTCTCATTGGCCTGCTGCTCATTTTAAGAAGGCTATTGGCCTTACTCTCTCCATCTCACATGGGTAGTATCTCGTAGAGGCCACCTTTCTCCCCTGAGAAGACCTCTCTTGGCTCTTGACAAATTTTCACAAGTTAGGGTGAAGCCTCGGAGACCCTTATAGCCCAGCTGTAAGAAATAGCAGCTTCTGTATTTGGCCTGATCTGCGATTTCTTTGTACCTCTCCCATCAAGTCTAGAGCTAATCAGTCTTCTCTTTTCCACATTCTGGTCTTTCTCTTCTTCTTCTTCTCAGCCCAGCCCCTTCCCCTCTGAAAAAATGGACTAGTTCACCCAGCAGGTTTAGTCCTGATTTGGCCAGTTGATGGTTTCAATGTGATTAGGAAGTTGCTGGGCTTACATTCGCAATGTATGCACTTCCGGGCACTCATGGGGTCTCTCTGTTGCGTGTGGTATGTGTAGGTGTGCCTTTATGTACTTCCAGTAGCTAATACTTCTGGGGTTTGCAATTCTGCCAGTGACTGAAGAAATGGAATCAAGGTTAATTTGTGTGGCTGAATAATGACATCATTTTAAAGGTATACGGGAGGCCAATCTTGGAATTTTACAGATTGGAAAACAGAGGTAGGGCAAGGGGAAAGGACTTGGCCAGGGTCATAGAATGAATGAATTTGAGAATCAGGCTCGCAGCTCAGGCTCGTCACTCAGTCCTGCAGGGTCATATATATGCCTCTTTAAGGACGCATGAATGTGCATGAGAACGCAGTATTCCTCCAGACGGCAAAAATAGATCATAGATCTGTGAATACAAATGTGGAGAGAAAATGTGCACTGGGAAGAACTGCGTGTGCAGCTTACAACACAGAGAGCTGTTCAAATTAGATTAAAGCTACTGCATTTAGGGAAAATGAGAATCCAAAGTGATGACCCCTCCCCATCCTGCCCGTTCTTCCCATTGCCCCCAAGTAACCCATTTTTAAAAAATAGGCATATTTCTAAAAGCCTCTTAGAGAGGTTTTCATACAGATTTTTTCTTTAGTTTGATCAATACAACTGTTTTCCTTAATTCCATGAATCTAGCTTTTTTCACACATCTATGCACACACCATCTCACACACACATAAAACATTGCCAGCAGGTACTTTTAATTTGCTGGAAAATATTTCTAAGAAGTCAAAAAGCTTCAGCTGAGTGAGTGTGCCTTCCTATTGGCTAGTCAGACCAGCTGAGGGGCCTGATTGGTCTCTGATCCAAAGGACCGATAAGAACGGCTATAAAATCCCTGGGTGCAGCTCTTGGGCCCCCAGTTTGGAAAAGCCAGAGGTGCCAGGAGCGGCGACTGCAGCAGCAGCAGCAGGAGCAGCAGCAGCAGCAGCAGGAGCAGCAGCAGCAGCAGCAGAAGCTTCAGCCGCAGCAGCACCACCACCAAAAAAAAAAAATTTATTTTTTCCTCCTCAAATCCTCACCTAAGCCTTCAGTGTATCCAGATCCACATCTTTACTCAAGCCGGGAGAGGGGAAAAAGGAAAGGGGGGGGAGGAAAAAACAAAAAACCAACAACTTAGCGAAAACTTCTCAGAGAATGCTCCAAAACTCAGCAGTACTGCTCATGCTGGTGCTCGGTGCTTCTGCAGCCCACGAGGCGGAGCACAATGACTCTGTGAGCCCCAGGAAAGCCCGGGTGGCCGCTCAGAACTCAGGTAAGCAGCAAGCCCAGGACCGGTTTCTCCCCCCAAAGAGCTGTCCTCATTTGCCTCTCGCTTTTGCAACTCTGTCTGTGACGGCTGATCTTGATAATAAATGTGCTTCATGCCTGATGGCAATAAACTGCCGGTGTAATCCAATAGCCTTAGGAAGTGGAGCGCCTTTGTTTAATAAATTGCATGCAACTAACGAAGAAGCCGGGCGCTCGGCTGAGGGTATTCCATTGCATAAGCCTAGCCTGATTGCCTGAAATCTGGCACGTACCCTCTTTGGGGTTGGAGGGGGAGGAGGGGGAAAGGGGGCGGGGAAAGGGCTTGAATGTTGGCATGCTTCAAAGCGCTCTCTATACTTTCCAGAGAGCTGATCTTAAGGTGAGACATCGTTTTTTTCTGATGCTGTTCCTCCTACGGGTGAGATCCTAGAATTGACATCCCTCCCTCGTTTGGGGGACCCCCAGAAAAGCTCCCGCCGCAGACTGCTTTACAGAACCACAGATGGTCTGAAAAACCCAGCGTGGTTTCAAGGGAAAACTCTACACATCCCACCCCCTGCCTCTGCGCCTTCTCTGGCGCCTGGTTCCCAGGCTCCATTCAATTGCTGGTGCAGTCCAGGACCAGAGAACCCCTTGAAAAAGAGTATTTGTGAAATGCAGCTCTTTCTCCCAGGAAAAGATCTCCCTTGAGTCTCGACTCCTGGAGCCGTTCATTGTGTACTATCTTGGCCTCTAAAGCGAAGGAGCCACGAGGAGGCGCATTGGCACTTCTGTCTTCGGACTTCTCTTGAGACCCTCGCTCCTCTTCCTCCACTGTCTTCTGCCCTGACAGTCAGCAAAGATGGGATCGCAGGTGTCAAAACGCTCCTGCTCAGCCTCCCCTTGGAAGAGGGCAGGTCTCTGCAGAGAGGAGAGCATTCGCTTCACTTCTTTTTGTACTTAGTTGCTATAGAGATACAGTGATTCACAATTCAGGCTTGCCTAAAACAATAGCAGCCCGAAAGCATATTAAAACTGCTTAAAGCAAAGTTATCATTTGAACCCCGTGGAAATATATAATTAGGGAAATGACTTGTAACATCCCAGAGGCTGGGTGGGGGGAGGGGGAGGCAGAGGGGAAGCCTAACTGAACCCTGCTTTTGATCTCAGGGGAGAGTCTTATGGTATGAAGGCTGCAGATCATTGCTTGCCGAGCTGCCTGCCAGAACACCCCCCTTCTGCCAGAGAGACATTACTTTTATGGGAGATCTTATCCACCATGTAGAAAGCCTCCTGCTAGTTCTTTGCGGTTTTCTTCCAGTCTTGCACAAGGGGTGTCTCAGCCTTGTTACGCCACACCTGTATTTCTCTCTTTAAAAGGGGGTGGAGGATTTAATATGAAAGAGTATACATACCTCAAAGCACTGTCCTGTAGTCAAGGGTTGGGGTGAAACAGGAGGAGATAGGATTTTTGGTCCCCCTACCAATATGAAGGTGAGTGCAAGATCCTGAGTCAGAAGGGTCTCTAAGTGAATTTCTGGCAAATTCCTCTCCTCCAGTTGTATCCTTCCTGGTCTGGAGTGAATTCTGGGAAGTCAGCGGGATTCCCTGACCCTTTGGTCACCCATGCCATGGCCTTCAGGCTCCAAGGTGTAACCTTGGGTTTTATAGAGCTGTTTCAAGGCCACTGGGCCTTCTCTGAACTCCCATGTTACTTCTGCAGCCTCCAAGATGGTGGAAGGGAGAGGGGACTATCTCTGAGGAAGCCTCCCCTCTCCCCACCCCACCCTGGGTCTTCCTGTGCTCTAGTTCTTGTAGGTCCAAGGAGCTTTCTGGCCCCTTTCTTCTCACCCCCACACCCCATGATGAGTGAGCCCATCTACCGAACCCACCATGGACTTCTAAGATAAATTCACCTGAACCCTTGTCCTTGCATTTTGCCTCTGCACCCACCTAGTCCCTTGCAAACACCCTCACTATTTAACCTGGATTGAATGGACTTGTCTCTTCCAGCTGATGTGATTCGCTGCCTCAACAGTGCTCTGCAGGTTGGCTGTGGGGCTTTTGCCTGCCTGGAAAACTCCACCTGTGATACAGATGGAATGTTCGACATCTGTAAATCCTTCTTGTACAGCGCTGCTAAATTTGACACTCAGGTAATAAGACCGTGACTCCTGCAGCCTATTGGCTGCTTTTCAATGACTGTGTGCTAGGCCATTGTGCTGATGGACCCTTCTTGTAAGAAACGAGCTCTGCTTCTCAGCGCACACACTCATACACACACACACACACACACACTGTTGTCCAGGAAATAAGTTATAAGACACTTCCCTGCCCACTCTGAGGTTTGCTCTCTCACCCTCTAGCAGAGGCAGGCTTGTCAGGGGAGGGGTGATGAGCAGAAAATCCTTTCCTCTTCCAGAGGAAAGAAAAGATGCTCTGCCAGTAAAGTTCTTCTCACTGTGGGGTCAGTGCACACTAGCTCATACATTTAATTATTGGAGTCTCCATCCCCAATTTTCAAAGACATATCCTGACTATTTTAAAAGTCTCTCTCTCTCTCTCTCCCCCTCCCTCTCTTCTCCCCCTCTTTCTCACCCTCTCTTTCCACTCTCCTCTTCTTTCTCTCTCTGCCCCCTTCCTCTCTCTCTCTCTCTCTCTCTCTCTCTCTCTCTCTCTCTCTCTCTCTCTCTCTCTCTCTTCATTGTCATGGAACTCAAAGTGGTCCAAGAGAAGAAGAGATATTTTTGTTTTATTTTTTAATTGTTAGCCATGGCAGTTTCCCCATTACAAGGAGACGCTGACGTCATGTCAGTGTCCAGGCAAGCCCTGTTAGAAGTCCCCCTAGATGTGGGCTGCCCTGTACCCCTTTGTCAGGTCAAGCTAAGCTTGTGCCCCCTTTGCTCTCTCCTTGGCAGGGAAAAGCGTTTGTCAAAGAGAGTTTAAAGTGCATCGCCAGTGGGGTTTCCACCAAGGTGTTCCTCGCCATTCGGAGGTGCTCCACTTTCCAGAGGATGATTGCTGAGGTGCAGGAGGAATGCTACCGCAAGCTGAATGTGTGCAGCATTGCCAAGAGGAACCCCGAAGCCATCACTGAAGTCGTTCAGCTCCCCAATCACTTCTCCAACAGGTACGAAATGAGCCTGCATTTTTCCAGGAAGAGGGACGAGGGGCTGACTAAGAAGCCATACAGGGAAAGCGGTGGGGGGAGCGGGGTAAAAATGCCACAGTCACACTCTTATTTTAGCTTGCAGTCTTCTCAGCTTTGGCAGGAAGCAATACGTTTGTGATTGGTTGTGACAGATGAAGCAGCCTAGATTCCCCCCACCCGCACCCCCAACGGTGATAGGAAAAGTCTTTCGCTATATCTAACAGAAAGCTTCATCTGCACCATTCCTGGGTACATATTCATTGGCTGCTTTCTTGCCATATGCCTGAAGGAAATGGTGACATTTCTGAGAGCAAGCTTTTGAAACATCAGATGTGGCTGAAATTGTGACTTTGCAGCAGGACAATTGACAATTACAAAACAAAAACCAAAAAACCCTCCAGCTAAAAATGTCATGATGCAGCCCTTTAAAAAGCTGCATGAATTTTGAGTGAGTCTTTAGCCCAATCAGATATTTCAGTCGTCAGCCTAGAACATGCCACCTCACTCCCCTAGGAGTCCCACTTTCTGTGCGAGAGGTGCGTCGACTCTCCCCTTTCCATTCTCTATCCCACTCATTCCATTTCTCTACTCCCTGGTTTTCGGAAATGATGTGCTAATGGATTCCCAAGTCTACGCAGTCTCATCGTGGGCTTCCAAAATGGATGCAAAGCCACTGACCTGGTCAGAGCTGAGCACAGTGCCCTTCTAGGCTCCAAGTTCATGCTCTTCACCAGGCAGGCTCACCCATGATGCACGAGAAGGCTGGTGCCCCCTCCCCGTGCACCTGGCCTGGAAAACTCCCCAGTGGAACAGGGCTTTCCCATCAGTAATGACAGGAAGGGAGATGCAGATGGTGCAGGAGGAAAGGTGTGGCCGAGGGACTGTAGGCTGGTCACATGCAGCCATCCCCAAGCTTCCTGTGATGCCCCACAAACCAAAAGCTGCTTCCCCATCCTAAAGTCCGATGATCCTTTCACTCACCAGCCAATATGTACATGTTCACAAAGGCAAGTCCTAAACCGGTTATTCGCATGCCTACGTGTTATCACTACTTGTCTGATTAATTTCTTTGACAAGTGCACCCACCCTCCTTTAGCTAATGTCAACAGTCTAGTAGTCCATCTGATGCATACAGATGACCGGGGTATAGGCTGATATCTAACTTGGGTCTCTGCTGATAGATGCTTGAAGACAGCAAAGTTCACTCCTCCTTAGGGAAAGGGGAAGGTCCCTCACATGGATTTGTTGGTAAAGCTCCTGATAGAAAGACTCACAACTGCCCATCACTCACTTCTCGAGAACGAGCAGTCCGTGGTCCTCAGAATGACACGCCGGTGGGGAGAAAGCCCCTGGAATTGATTCTAACTGGGGAGCCCCCTGCCTGATACACCCAGAGAAGAAAAATCAAAACCACCAATTCTTTCAAACGATCTATCTCCTTAGAGGGTTCTTAGTTTTAAAATGACCCTAGGAAGATTGTTACTGCATCTGAGGGAAGAATGAAAGAAAAAACGAAACAAAACTGGCAAATCATTGCAGACTCCTTTCCGCAGAAGGAGAGGAAATAGCTATTTTTGTCACATGAGGGCTAGGGGCAAAGTGCATGTTTGTATGCATTGGGTGGTGGGTGGGAGGAGGTGCTTAACAAAAGCATTCGTTTCAGTTAGATCTTTAAGAACCCCATGACGTTTCATGATCTATACTATGACCTGTAACTAATTTTGAGGCAATACTAATCCTTCCTATTTTAACAGAAAAAGCATATTCCTTTAAGAAAGGAGAGGTCCTGTGGAAAGGATGATAGAGATACAGACTGGTAACCCCGAATGGTTTAAGAAAAAAGTGCAACAAGGGTCTTATTTTCACTTTCTTCCTAAAAGAGTCACAAGAGAAAGTCTTGCTGTGTCCCTTTTTCATTGAGGAGGGGGACGACACAGCCCACTTACTAGGAAAGGACAGTTGGCGCGGGGTGGGGTGGGGGGTAGAAAGGGGCCAGTCCTTAAAGATGAGAAGCTTCCATTCAACTTTTACCTTTCTCCGATTACTTCACTTCAACTGGCTAATATTATTCCTCTTAAGAACGGTAGAGATTTCCGGTTCCGCGCTGGGCTTGACTTGCTCTGTTTCAGCTCCTCGCTCTCCCGAAGCATCCTGCTTTCCCACCCTCTGTCCCACCATAGACACACGCGAAACTGGTGCCAGCTGGCACAGAACTGTGAAAGGAAGTAGTTACAGGTTCATTCCACCTTCCTGTGACTTATCTAACATGAGAATGGAGGCTGGGAGAACCCAAAGCCTGTGCCTGGACTCTTTGTCAGAACCGAGATGTTTTCCATGAGAGGAATGTGCCTGGAAGAGAAGGGATGGCTGGGTGTCCACACCCCCCCCACCCCACCCCACCCCACCACTGGCTAAATTTGAAAACTGCAATGTCAACCATGAGGGAAGCAAGACAATTGATCAGAGAGGCAGGGCAGTGAGGATGGGGAAGCAACTTGACCAGTCCAGATCCAGGGTGGGAAAACTGACAAAGCTTCCAACTCTCTAGGGCATGGATAGGGAACAGGAAACAGAAGAATAATATTGATCAAGGGAAACAAAGGACTATTTATAAACCCTCACACAGAACGTTCCTAAGCAGTATGTGTGTATTTGGGTAAGCATGGTTGAAACAGTAGCTATGGAAAATATCTGATCTTATTCTTCACCAAGAAACAACAGAAAGGAAAAAAAAAAAAAAAAAAAACCCAGTGGTGGAATTTTCAAAGTGGGAAGATAGAAATAAGTGTAGAAAAATCATTCCAGATTGGTGATCAGAACATTTAGCCCCCACCCCCACCCCACCCTCCCAGCCTTTGCAGCCCACTTCATGAAGCCTCCCTAAGGAACCTATTATCAACTTCCTAGAAAGGTAGAATTCCATGGCCAGAGATAATCAAACAAGTTATCTAGATTGGCTGCCTTGCTTTACTAATTAAATGAGGGGGGGGGGGCGGGGAGTGGTCGTGACCTGCTGAAGGTCACAAGGTTAGTGAAGGCAGCCTTGGGTCTAAAGCTCACATGACCTTGAACCAAGCGATTTGATCTCTACTCAAAAATGGCAGTCAACAAAACCTGCAGGAAACAGCCCCAACCCCCAAATAGAATACAGAGTTCAGTGGAATTTACATGCAGCCTCTTGTTAGATGCAGTTGAGATGGTGCAGTGACTCACAGAGGGACCTCATGTCCAACAGAAGGAAACACTGCCCAGTTCTGTGCCAGCCATTCAACTGGTCCTGTGCTTGAGCCCATCTTTGCAGCCACTGAGTCAGTCCATCTCCTTCAGGCCTGCTCCCCTTTTTCAATGCCCCTCCACTCTATGGCACATGATGGTGATCAACCACTAAACTCAGTTTCATTTTTTTCCCAGAAGAAAAGGTTTGTCCTACCCACAGCTACAGAAACAATGACTTAGCCACCACCACCCCAAAAAAATTGTTTTTAGTTGCTCAATGATATGTGGCAATTGTTAAATCAATCTTTGCTGCACACACGAGTGCTTAAATAATCCATCTCACTTGGAGACTACCAGGGAAGGTCTACCTCACTGACCAACGCAATCCTAGAGGTCAATGCCACAGTAGAGAGGCGCAGAATTAACGGATGGCGCCCTCTGGAAAACTGGATTGGCTTCAAAGTCCCGTGGCAAGTTTTCCAACCTTAAAGGTGCTATGAGGGAAACCAGGTTCTCTCGGGCACTTTCTTAGCCTACCCTTCTCGAGCTAATCGTGTTCCAGGAGAGGCTTTGGAGGGTGACTAAAGGCATTGGCTGAAGAGGGCAGGCCCTTGAAGAAAGTGGCGCGGGAAGAACACGTCTGCCCAACGAGGCAAGGAAGGGTTTCCTTCCAAAGCTTCGTTCCGTCACAGAATGAGACTTCCTCCCCTGAACCAGCCCTTCCGGCGTCCCTACGCAAGGAAAGCCCTTCTTTTCCAGCCTATGGTAGGGGCGCGTCGGCTGTGAATAGGTCTTTTAGAAATCACCCGGTTAGTCCACACTGGGGCTTAAGGGGACCGTCAGAATCTTGAGCCTCTAAAATAAAACTGAGATCCAGAGAACCTGGGTCCCAGCAGCACGCAGGTCTAGGAAGAGGTCTGGAAGGAGCTATGTGGGTGTGCAGGTGTCTGCGGCTATCGGAATATGTTAGCTGAGTCTCAATTTTTCCACAATGAGTTTGCTCCCTATTTCCCCATCCCAGGGAGATCTGCTTTGACTTGGGTGCTTTATAATTCCAAAGGCCTGGAAAAAGTTCTTCTGTGCCGGAGAATCCCAAACTTAACAGCAGCTGGCTATAATCCTCCCTTGAAGAAGGGGCATAGCCAAGCTCTCTCAGTGACCTGGACACGCCACTTCTCTTTGCATCCCCACCTTTGTTTCCTCACCCCCAGAAAGATAATTGTTTTGCTTCATCACCCACGCGCTACTCCAATTACTGTACATCCTTGAAAGGACCTCTTTGGGGGGTTAAGTTATTCTGGAAAGATGTTTGATCCTGTGCTCTGTAAGATGAATTAAAAATAAACGGGTTTCTCTTCATGGAAGATCCTGTGCCCCAGAGAGCCTCAGGGTCCTCTGGAGAAAGGGTCTCTCCCTATAAATATTACAGGCCACCCTCCTCAGAGCGTTTCTCATTAGCTAATGGATTTTGACAGCTACTGCTTCACAGTGATGCAGAAGCATATCCAACCCAAACTGGATAAGACCTGAGCTGTCTTCCCAAAGGACAGGATAGGTGACCATGTCAACTTTTCTAAGCCATGACACCCAGGCATGGGGAGGTTTAACGCACCAAAGATGAAGATGGCTTCTATCAAACACAAGAGTTTTGTGTAAAGGTTGGCAGGGCGGGAAAGAAAGAGTCACCAGTGTTCACCGAGGCAGTTCTGACTCGTGGTGGCACGCAGATGCAGCAGAGGTTTGCCCTGTAGGCTGTGCAAGGCGGGGACCTTTCCCGAAACAGGTTGCCAGGCCTGTCTTCTGAAGCACTTTCTGGGTGGATTCAAACTGCCAGCTTTTCGGTTAGGCAAGGGACTTGTAAACTTGACCCCCACCACTGTTAATCCTTTACCATCAAGTCCATGCCAGCTCAGCAGTTCTGAGGGCAGCGTAGAGCTGCTGCATCGTTTCAAAGGCTGGAAATTTTTACAGGGGCCCCTGGTGGTACTGCCCCAAAGGTCAATGACTGCAATTTGCTGGCTGCTCAGTGAGCTAAAGATGTGACTGTCAGCCTCCAGACACATTACAGAATTGAAAATCCTTCCCAGCAGACCCACACTTGTCCTATAGGGTCATGATGAATCCAAATTGACTTGGATTTGGTTAGGGATTTGGGGGTTTGCTTGGTTGGTTTTAGTCTTGTTGGAAGCAGACTGCCACATCTTTTCCCCAAAGATCTGCTAGGGTTCCATGACTGACCTTTCGGTGAGCCACCAAGCTTACTTAATTACAGTGCCACCAAGACTCCGAAATCTGCCTCTCCATGGTGGCCCATTTGGTTCTGCACTGTGCTGAGCGGCACCAGGTCAACAAAATATGAGGCTGCCTCCTTCCTTAAAGATGTGCTGTCTCGAAGACCCTAGGGAGCAGAGTTCTACTCTGTCCTAAATAGTCACTCGCCCGATGGCTTACGAGGAAGCAGACCATTCGACAAATCCATTTCCTCAGTGACCACAGAATAAACCAAGAAATCTAAAGTGAAGGGTGAATGTAGCCTGAGAGTATCATGAAGGATACGTAGAAATAAAATTCACATTACTTTTCATCACCACCACCACCCCACACACACAAATGGCCACCAAGGGGTTTCCAGCCCAATTAAAGAAACAATGCCATTAGGAGTCATCACAGACTAATCTGTCTGAGGTTCCTAGGAAGTCTAAGATAGGCAAACACCAGAGGTAGAGGAGTAGGCGGAGGCTTCACAGAGTCACTGAACAACAATGAAGAAGCACCTGTGTTTCGATTTAATGATTTTTACTGTGGGGTATTTGGGCCTTCCGACTATACTATCTCTTTGGGAAAAGACTGAAATTAGGGCCAGTCGACAGCACTTATCAAGACTGGCTGAGTGTATGAGATGGAAATGAGATTTAGTAGAAAAATGCATGAAGCAGAGAGAAGTCGGGAGCCCTCCCTTCTAAAAGCAAGTTTCCCCAGAATAAGCACTCGTGCTTATTCTGGACCTTCATGGACACAACCAAAATAAAGGAAAATTGCAGAGAGACAGCAAAATAACTGTAAATGTATAGGCGGTGACTATTAATGCCACTATGGAATATTGAGCTCATCTCACTTATGAGCTTCTACCACTTATGACCTTGGCTAAGTCACTTCAGCTCTCCCACTTCAGTGGCTTCTCTATCATATGAGTGGATCTAGTCACTAATTGATCCCTGGGGGTCCATCTAGCTCCATGATTCTGTGCTTCCAAAAAGTTTAGCCCTTACAGTCAGCCTACTGGCTACAGCATGGCCTACATCTCATGAACTCTGAGCAAAGACATTGCCTTGTACTGTAAATCCAGCTAGCCTCTACACTCCCACTAAGCAGACATTGCACAAAGGTGAGAAGCCAAAAAGCACCTTGGTCCGGCCATCCGGGACCAGCGTGGGCTGGAGCACACGTTTCGCCTTGCTCTCGCTGAATGACGAACGCACTGCCTTCTTTCTCGATGCAGATACTATAACAGACTCATCCGGAGCCTACTGGAATGTGACGAAGACACGGTCAGCACGATCAGAGACAGCCTGATGGAGAAAATTGGACCCAACATGGCCAGCCTCTTCCATATCCTGCAGACAGACCACTGTGCCCACATCCACCCCCGAGCTGACTTCAACAGGAGGCGCACCAATGAGCCACAGAAGCTAAAAGTCCTCCTCAGGAACCTCCGTGGTGAGGGAACCCCTCCTTCCCACACAAAACGCACCTCTCACGAGAGTGCATAACCAGGGAGAGATGTTCACAACCTCACCAAACTAGTATCATTTTAGAGGTGAGCAGACACCGACTGTAAGTGTACTGTGCCTGGTTTGATTTTTTTTTTCATTAGTTCCTATTTTCTACCCCCACCCCCACCCCTTACAGAAAATTGCATGAAACTAGGCTTCCGTAATCAATATTCCAACATTCTGCAATGGCAGCATTCCCACATACAGAATACATGTGATCTTCCTGCCTCTCCTCTCTAATCACCTTCCTTTATACCATGTCCTTCCCCGGCTGACCTCAAACTACCCTCACAGCCCCCAAAATTCATGTAATTCCCCACCAAGTCATTGTAATTTGAAAATGTGGAGCCCTTTAGAATGGTTGTCCCAGTAGAGTTAGCTGATAAGAAACAACTTAATTTAAATGCATGTCTTAAAAGCTCATAAAGATGTTAAATGGAATTCGTATTATGAATCTGTGCTGGCCATGGACGAATATGAATGTCATGCTTGAATTCTTGATCTCGAATGAGCTAGTGTCTTATGGTCTTGATCCTCCAACGTCTAGTTTCCTTTCCAGCACATTTACCAAATTGCTCAAGCCTGGCTCTTCCACCAGACTTTGAGCCTGCATCTTCTTGCATCTAGTAAAAAACAAAAAGCTAACATCTTTATGTACTGTAACTGCTCAGAGCTTTAAAAGTATCTTTAACAATTGTCTTAAAAACCAGAGAATCTTAAGGTCTAACTGTGGAATATAAATAGCTGAAAACTAATGTACTGTACATAAATTCCAGAGGACTCTGCTTAAACAAAGCAGTATATAATAACTTTATTGCATATAGATTTAGTTTTGTAACTTAGCTTTATTTTTCTTTTTCTGGGAATGGAATAACTATCTCACTTCCAGATATCCACATAAATGCTCCTTGTGGCCTTTTTTATAACTAAGGGGGTAAAAGTAGTTTTACTCAACATCGAAACTGAAGATGGGCCTGTATGAGATAGGAAAAACCAACAGGTTTATCTGATGGACCTCAGGTCAGGTGTTAATCTCCCAGCCCACCTCAACCCAAAGGCTACTCTTGACTTAGATCTATCCTGAAATACTTTGTCACCTCCAACTGGGAATTATAAGGCACCCCCCACCCCCCAAAAAAGCATCCCTTTGGACTTGGGCCACTTAAGGTGTGATAAGGCCTAAACTTTGAGAAGTGACAATTCTTATCTTTCCACCTTTTATGGGCACCCTGTATTCTGGAGAAATGGTGGCAGGGTGGGGAGCTTCCCAATGAGTCAATCAGGAATGAGTCAATCAGCCTTTGGGTCTTTAGTTCAGGGGACTTGGAGCTGAGGGGGTATAAAGAAGCCTGGGCTGTCCAGCCTTAATAGACTCCTCTGACATTTTTGTCCTGTAGTACTCTGCCTGCCAAAGTCGTCCTGGCAGCTGGGCCATCTCGGTAGGGTTGCGAAAACCAGAAAGAGGGAAAATAAACTACAATAAAAGAGCTGGTGGTTTGATCATTTCTGCCGTGATGTTTACAAGATGGCAACCGCCAAAGCCAAAAGAGTCACCTATCTATGAACAACAGTCGTTTCTCAGGGTCATTGTCCTTGAACCCAACGGTCCCTTAGGAGTGTCACTACCCACCGAAGGTCAATGTTGAGAGATGAAGAGGGCGGAGGGGTAGGACTGTATGGGCCACTCCAAACTTGCTTAGGTAGAAACTCTTGGTGCTTGACTCTCACTAGGCTAAACTCAAGATTTGACCAAATCTAGTGATAGATAGGGATCCTGGTGGGAGGAGGGAGGGTATATCTCCATTTAAAAGAAAATTTTTTTAAAAAGCAATACAACTTTACCACAAAGCCTTTAAAACCAGAAACGTGCTGCTCAAGGACCAAGAACAAGTTCAGCAGAGCCAGAGCAGCAGCAGCAGCAGCAGCACGGGCGTGGCTGCCTTTGTTCCACACACACAGCCTCTAAGCGTGCGGGCATCAGATTGTTAAGGACATTTTTATACTCAGAACTGTCCCACCCCCAGGTCCCCTGCCTTAGCCTCTTGGAAATCAGGTAGACCATATTGTAAGTTGACTCCCCCACTCCTCAACCCCACCCGCCACTCCCAGGCAAGGCTGACTTCTCTGAACCAGAAAAGCTATTAAAGTTTTGTGTGTTGTGTCCTTTTCGCAAACCCACTAAGCCAGGACCCCACTGCAACAACGAGTTCCCGAGTGTCCCTAACACAAGTCCCTCAGACCTCCGTCCATCGGATTCTCTTTGCTCCTCGGACTTCTTCAAACTGTGGTTCCCTTCCCATCTCTTTACTTCCCACAAGGATATTTATATATGTATCTGTAATACATATATCTACACACATGGAAAGAAGCAGTTCTCACAATGTTGCTAGGTTTTTGCTTCTCTTTCCCCCACCCCACACCCTCCAATCTCCCCCTCGAACTCGCCAAGCTTCCCCTGGTGTTTTCTGCGCAGAGCGATTCGGGGCTGACCTAGAGCAGTTTGTTTGCATGATTCTTCTATTGAGATTTGGTTGCACTTTAGATATGTTTGTGCCATTATATTTGCATTGTGTATTTATAATTTAAACGATATTTAGGTTTTGTTTTTGGTTTTTTGTTTTGGTTTTTTGGCTGAGTACTGGAATAAACAGTGAGCATATCTGGTATATGTCATTATTTATTGTTAAATTACATTTTTAAGCTCCATGTGCATATAAAGGTTATGAAACATATCATGGTAATGACAGATGCAAGTTATTTTATTTGCTTATTTTTATAATTAAAGATGCCATAGCACAATATGAAGCCTTTGGTGAATTCCTTCTGAGACAAAAAAAAATTAATAAATAATAAAGTGTTAAGTTTTATCTGTTTCTTTTCCCCGATGTCTTTCATTGTTATTCTTGAAAACTCCTACAATGAGACTATCTGAACACAAAGGTACCATTTGGTTAGTTTCTTTAAAGTCACTACTTGGTGTCGTGAATACAGCACGAGGGTTTGATGTTATAAAGACAAGGGGACTTCAAAACCCGTGTGGAAACATTTGATTACAAAATCATGGAATCTCTCCACGAACTTTTTGAAGCCCCTTCCTATGTAAATAGCTATCGTTTAAATGAACATTTTCCCAACACCCTTAAAACCCTGACTGTGGCTTCCATGACCTTCACGATAAAACCAAACCCAAACTCTTTACAAGTTTTGGAGCCCCCCAGGGTCTGGAAGTCGCCTCATTTCCCTTTCATCTGGGAACTCTACACGCCAGTCACACGCTCCTCTGGGGAAGGTTGTAACCTCTCTTTCTGATCTTAGGGTCTTTGCTTATGCTGTTCCCACGTTCGGAAACACTTTTCCATCTGCCCTTTGATGAGCTGGGAGTGCACTGCCATCGAGATCCATGTGGTCACCAAGGTGTCCCCTCTACCAGCAGAGCGCCCAGCCTCTGGGCGCCTTTGAAGATGGACAGGGCAGTTCACAAATGATAAAAGTTATCAGTCCGCGGTCAGACATTTCTCAGATGCATTTACTGTGACCTAGTCCATCACACGTTTACTTCTTACATGATCTTTCATCCCGAATCTTCACCCAGAGTCCCCAGGACATCTTTACGACTTTGAAGGAGTGATTTAGAAAGGGTCAGAGGAGAGGGAAGGACACTCAATCCACGGGACAAGGGAGGCAGCTTGCTCGGTGGTTACAGGGACCCAGTTGTGGAGTCAGGAGGGATTTGCAGTCCGGCTCTGTTCCTTTGTAACTGTGGGACTCCAGGCTCACAGTTTCTTTCTCTGTAGAAAGGGGGGATGGTGGCCATCTCATGCCACTGTGAGAGGGAGAAAAAAAGACATGAAGTCCTTGCAACACACTTACCACACCGTTGAGAGGAAGAAAAGAAAAGGTTGCCGTCAAACCCATTCCAATTCATGTGTCACCTTAGAGCGGTGCTCTGAAGCGCTGTCCACGGCTGTGGTCACCAGGTCTGTCTTCTGAGGGAACTCTGCGGGGATCTGAACCTCCAGCCTTGCCATTAGTGATCAAGCACTTAACCCCACCAAACTGGGGACACCGTCCACCATGATCCCAGAGAAAATGTTAGCTCTGATTTTAAGCAGAGGAAATGAGAGAAAGAAGGGGCACGCTGCCTCAGAAAATGGGGAAAGATGCACAGAAGAGTGACATTATGGCTCCTCCTGTGTGTTTACAGGGAAAAGGGGAGGGTGGACGT